CCCACAGTCCTGGGCTTCCCCCCCCCAGCTCTGTGCTGCCCTGACCCACAGCCCTGGGCTTCCCATCACACTCCAAGCTCTGTAGGGTTGCCAATTTTGGTTGGACGTATTCCTGGAGATTTAATCACATGACATAATCTTTAATTAAAGATTAATCTTTAATTCCTGGAGACTCCAGGCCAATCCGGGAGGGTTGGCAGCCCTAGGGCCCGGTAACAATTCACTGGATGTATTGGAGACAGACTCTCTTGCTCACCAAGTTTCTGAGTCAGGAAATGAAGAACCATGCAGCGCAGGGAACTAGGGGAGATACGCCAGAGCTCAGAGCAGGCAAGTGGCACAGTTGAGGTTGGCATGTCCCGCCTGTCCCCGCGCTCAGTACCTGGGAGGGCCTAGGAACAGCTCCCTGCTGTGGGGATGGGCTAGCAGACCCTCAATCCCATCTTGCCCATTTCACTAACGAACGCTTTGGGTCTCACAGAGCTGGACGACACTTCCTGGGGTGTCACCAGGAGAACGAGCTGAGAACCCCATTGTGCTGAGGGCTCGGCTGGTCAGTCACAGTGTAGGCGATCATCCCGAAGCACAAATGCCCATGTCCCAGGGAGTGAGGGAATGAGACCACCAGAGCCAGATGCTGCTCACAGGGCCCACGGCAGCCCTGGCGGCGCAGGAATCGCGAGGGGAGACGCTTCCCCAGATACGATGGTTCCTTCCTGCGTCACCCATGTGGATGTCAGAAGCAGACACAGCTGGGTGGATGCTGGCTATTGCACACAGCCATCAGTTACAACCTGGCTCTCCGAACGCTGGGCCTTAGTGAGATGGAGCCCAGAGCGTGCAGGCCTTCGCAGCCATGACAGGGGAGCTGAGAGGCTGAGTGCACAGAGCATCGGGGCAGAATGGGGCACAGGAGCAGCTGGGAGGGGAGGAGGGGAGAAGCTGGTACGTGGCTTGTGGGACCCGGTATGTAGCAACACCTGTGCTGGACTGGGCCTGATCTCCCCCAAGGCTCAGGTCACAACCCGTCTGGGGGACAGGACTCGAGGGCTGCGTGCTCTCACCCTCGTGCTGCTGGCTGCAGTTTGCAGGTTACAGGTTTCTTGTTATGTATTTTTAATCCACGTTTTGTCTCTTCCCTGCTCAGTCTATTTTTCTCTCTCGAGGCAACGGAACCCAGAATACTGAATTTAGCAGGGCAGTGCCAGTTTCGGGGAGGAGATTGTGGGGAGAGCTCACAGCTGGGGCAGCACCAACACGGCCACGGGGAGACTGCAGGCGCTCACATTTTCCTGCATACACACAGATGAAGCAGAAGGAATTGCAGGGGCTGTGCTGAACCTGGGTGAGAGCAGCAGAGCACATGCACGGGGCAGGACAGGCCCCAGGCTGGGCACAAGCAAACACCCAATCCCCAGCACTGGCTACAGAACAGCAGGGCAGAAAGGAAACTACGTGAGGGCAATGATCTGTAAGCCGAAGCCCTGCCTGTGTCCCCCTCCTCCCCCAGAGCTTGGGCTCAGCTCTGAAGAAGCCCCTCGCTCAGGAAGTGACGTGTCAGGACCAGAGAGAGCAAAGGTGAACTCTCTGCACGGGCTTCACAGATGCACATGCAGCTGCCTGGCCAACAAGGTCATGGACTCAAAGGACCTGGTTAAACAAAAGCTTTAAAAACACTCTGTTGACACAGCCTAGTTCACAGAACAGAGTCACAAAGGGCACTCGCAGGGGTGCTGCTATGCGGCCCACAAGAACGGGGCTTGGGCCTCCACTCCAGGGTCAGGGGTGACCCCACCAGGTCAGATTCACCTGAAGGAATAATCCAAGAGCTTTCACCCAGGTTCTAAAGTCAGCCCGGTTCCCCCCACGCGGGTGTGAAAAGCGGGGTAACCACTGGCTGTTTCCAGCCCTGTTTGAGAACGTCGGATTGACACCAAGTTCTCCCGGGTTTGGCCCATCTCCACTAGCGTTTCCCCAGAGTTCTATGCAAGCGCAGGGCAGGCCCTGACTGGCCATTCCCCTCATGTGGGTGGGACCCTGCACAAACTGTTCCCATTACCTCGCGCATCAAAAGCAAAGTCATTGGAAAAGCCCCTTCCCAGAGGCGCCTGGGGCCCGGGCAGCAGTCACAGGATTGCAGAGAGAAGCGTGGGCACCAGCCTCTGCCTGGGGACACGCCAATGACACACAATCATTGTGGCCAGTCAAGAAAAGGAGATGCCTGGGCAATAAGATGGCAGAGGGCGCCCAGCAGGGGAAAGCCATGGTCAAACCCATGGTGAGGGACAGTTTCGGCTGCTCAGGTCACAGATGTAAAACCAAAGGTCTGACGTCACTGCAGGAAGCCGGCTGATCAACATGCAGTTGGGTCGAAGTGGGGACCAAGAGAAGGGGCTAGAGAATAAGATGGATGGTCAGTGCCGTGGCCTTTCTCCCGGCCCAGGGGGAGCTTGTGATACCAGCGATACCATGATCCGCTCTGGTGGGTGCATCTCCAAAAGGGCAGATAACTAGGGAGTGCAGAGAAAGGCCACACAATATGGGGGGAGGGGGTACTGGAGACAGGGGCTAGTTCACATGGAAAGGAGAGGAAGAGAAGAGGGTTCTGCAGGGAGATGCTGCTATTTGCACCATCCCGTAATACTAAAGCAAGGTGGCGCTTCACAGAGAGCCGTCCCGTCACAACCAACCTTTTATGGCGCCCCAGACCAATCAAAATAGCTCCATTCAACAAGGAAAAACTCCTTATTTGCCCCGACCCATTGCGCCATTCAGTAGGGCCCGAGAGCAGAGAACTGGCTCTGGGAGCGGTCGCCAAGCAGGGCACCGGTTCCCTTTCTCCATCTGGGAGAAATGCAGAAAGAAAACAAGCACCACCGAGCCAAAGGCCAGGGAGAGCTTGCCAGTCCCTGCCGTTCCAGCTGTCTCCTGCATGACCTGTGACACAGGGCAAGGATGCGGCCAGCTCCTGCCCACCACAAAGCCGCCCGCACCAGCAGAGGCACTGGACCGTGCTTCTTAACCTTTAAAGACACAGCATCAAACCCCAGGATGGGTTTTGTTTTTTTACACAATGTATCATTAACCCGTGTCACTCACTGCTGCAGGGTACCGGTAAGTGAAAGAGCTCAGTGAGTTTCAAATCAGATTAGACAGTAGGATGACTAAATATTTGCAATAACACCAGCCAGGATAAACAGCTCTGGATCGACATGGCCCAGAGTCTAAGCTACCAATCAGTTGGGATCAGGAGGAAACCTCTCCCCCACCCCCCGTCCAGTTTGCCCCATGAGGTGCATTGTTAAACACTTTCCCTCTCAACTCACAGACATCAGGAAGGTGCTGGAGTCCCTCCCAGCCATCACAGGGGTCAACGCTGCATGTGACCTGCAGCATTTCTCTGGCATGCTGCACAGTCTGGTTTCACAAGGGCCACTTCCTCCCTCCCTCCCCACTAACGGGGACAGGCCACGGGCCAGAGGAACCATCTTTTGTTCCATTCTGGCTGCCCCCATGGATCTGGGACCCGCCAGATCTTGGGGGGCGGGGGGGACAGGCAGCAGAGACAAGAGCCATTTTCTGCTCCAGGCCTTGCCCCACCTCTTCTGGAGGCGCTAGATCTCCGGCACCTTTGTCCTGATTATTAACACCAGCTAAGTGGCGCAGCACCGCTGACCCCCTGCATCTCGCCAAGGAGGGACGTTCTGGCCACTGCTCTGATCCACTTAGCCCAAGAATTACAGGGAGAGTGAGAGGTTGGGGGAGTAGCTGCCCTTGGTGCCCTGGAGGAGCCTAGGGGAGGGGAGCCAAAGCTCTGCGCACAAACATTTCAGACGCTGCCTCTCCTCTCCCAGTGGCTCCCTGGCCCTGCTGAGCTGTTTCCTGAGCACAGCCAGCGGCCTGCCATTAGCATTAATTAGACTCAAGCGTTGCTGCTGTTGGGTGACTTGCTGCTTGGAAGTGATTCCAGAGTGAGGCAGGGGGTGTCGGGTGGGGACGTGGTACAAGCATGTGGGGTCACGGGTCAGGGCTGTCTGCAGGTGATGGCAATGCAGCCACTCAGCATTAAGGGATGGGAAGGCAGCGAGATACAGCTGCTGGAGCTCAGCAAGGTCCTGGGGCCAAGGGGATGGTGCAGCCATGAGCCAGGACTGGCAGGATGGGAAACTACATACCCATTGGTGTGCTAGCCCAGGGCATCTGGGCATTTGTCACAATGATCAGCAGTGAAACAGTTAACAAAGTTATCTTTTAATCCCCATCATTAGGGTTCAGAGTTAACGTCTCTGAGCTGAATGGCACCTGTCTCAGGGGCTAGTGCTGTTGCCAGCCTAGGACATACATGGCCCATGGAAAAGCGGGGGAAAGGAATCCTGCCTCTCTGACCCATACAGCCAGAGCTGGGGGCTTTCCTGCCACTCCTGTGCTGCTCCTTGGCCATTAACCTCTCCCTGTGCTCCCTCCCCCGCCCCAGCGGCCTGTGCTCCCCTGGACTGCTACTGGTCTGGGTCGCCCCTGAGCAATTCGGGGTGACGCCTCTTGTCTGGCTCGGCCTCACCCCCCTCCCCGCCGGGATGGCGACACGTTTTGAAAGGAAAGCTGGGGCAGCGCGGCCTGGATACCGCGGTGACGGGCGCTAGAGCCAGGGTAGAGAGTCCCGGCATCTCCCCGGCCACAGCCAAAAGATGCCCCGGTCCTAGCGGCGGAACCCTGGGCTGTCCCATCCTCTTCACCTGCCCCTAACCCTGGGACCGGGTGAGAGAAACAAATCACCCAGGGGCCGGGGACAGGGAGAGCGACGCGCCCGGAGCCCAGACCGGGACTAATACGGGGAACAGGCAGGGAGCAAAACACCCCTGGGAAAAACGCAGCGATCCCCCCCGTGCGCCCCTGGGAAAAACGCAGCCCAGGGTCTCCCGCCTGCTCTGCCCCCAACCCGTCCCCTCGTGTCCAGCCCTCTCTCCCCGGGGCAGATCCAGCCCGCAGGACCGGGGCGGTACCTCGTGGGGCGCGGCTCCAGGGCGCATCTTCCAGGAGCGGCTCCGGGTGCCCGGGCTGGAGCCCAGCCGCGATCCGCCTCGCTGGCTCTGCAGCTCCGCGGAAAACTTTTGCAGGAGCTGCGGCTCTGGGGGAGGGACCGACGGGCGGGGGAGGGACCGGCGGGCCAGGGAGCCGCTCTCGCTCTCCGCAGCCTCTGCTCCCCTCCCAGGCAGGAGCGGCCCCCGGGCCCGCAGGTGCAGGGAGAGATCCCGGCAGAGCAGCAAAGCCCCCAGGCCAGGCAGAGCACCAGGGGAGCCCATGTCTCCTCCCCCCCACGTGCAGGGCAGGGGGGGTAGTGCCAACCCCACTCCCCACCCAAAGGCCCCAAGGCTGTGGGGTTTTAACTCTACCCCTGGCCCCGCTCTTTGTCCCCTTCACTCCCAGCCCCAGATGTGGAGGAGCCGGTGCCAGCCCTAGAGCTGGGGGTGGGGCCATCTCTGGGGAATGGGAGAATTCAGTGCTACCCCCATTAATAGCCAGGGGCCCTGTCCTAGCGTCAGCCCAGCCACAGCGCCTGAGGGCCGGAATCATGAGCCGTGACGTGAGTGCCAGTAACGTGTCGTTAACACTCCGGCAAACAGGCCAGTGCCGGATGTGCCAGAGGCCTGGGGCAGCACAGACAGTGACCAATGACTGGGGCCCTGCCAAATTCATGGGCCATTTGGGACCATTCCAGGGTCATAGGATTTTAAAAATCGTCAATTTCATGATTTTGGCTATTTCAATCTGAAATGTCACAGGGTGGTAGTTGTAGGGGTCCTGACCCAGAAAGGAGTTGGGGGGGGGGCGATCGCAAGATTATTGTAGGGAGGTCATGGTACTGCTACCCTTACTTCTGCGCTGCTGCTGGCGGTGCCCAGCTCTCCAGCTGCCCAGCTCTGAAAGCAGCACAGACGTAAGGGTGGAAATACTGTGAGCCCCCTAAAGTAACCTTGTGCCCCCCCTGCAACTCTCTTTTGGGTCAGGACCCCCAGTTTGAGAAATGCTGGTCTCCCCTGTGAAATCGGTATAGCACAGGGTAAAAGCACACAAAAGACCAGATTTCACAGGGGGAGACCAGATTTCACGGTCTGTGAATTTGGTAGGGCCCTACCCATGACACCTGCAAAGAGAAGTCCCTCCAGGATGCGCCAGTGTGAGCGAGCAGGACATGGCTGGGGCTTGCCTATAATGAGCGCCAGGTGCTGGCCCTCTCGAGGACGGAGGTGCTGAGCCGTGAAGGCTCACGTGGAGGAAATCCATGCAGCACTAGCTCCAGGGTCAGCAGGGGACAAGGCGGGACAGCCTGGTGCAGCAAGTCTGAAAACTTTCCTGTGAAATCTGCAGGAGACGGCTCCAGAGCAGCCTGGGCCGGGAGAGAGAAAACGCTGCCAATAACTGACCAGTGCTCGCCCCCAGTTTGCCGGCCCCCTGGCCACACAGAACTGGCAGGGGGCTGCAACTGGCCTCCTGCCGAGCATGCAACAGGTCCTGGAGACACTCGAGGGAGCCGGCAGAACTGTCAGATACGAACCCACAGACAGCCACAAGCAACAGCCACTCGGAGACTCAGCACAAGTGTCTCCACTGTGACCTTTCCAGTCTGCCAGCGTCCAGCGTGGCCTGGCCTCTGACCCTGTCTGTCTCCAGCCCCCTGTGCTCAGCCAAGTACTTGGCAGCCTGGCTTCCTCTCCTGCCCCTCCCACAGCTCTGCAGCATCTTGGCCTTCCCTCTGGGACAGGAGAACATACGCCACTGAGCAGCGACACCGCAGTGGGTGGCCATGTCCTAACCCTGGCTGTTCCGGGGCCATCTTCCTTGGCCGACCAAACCATCCTCCTGGTCAGGAGGAGCCTCCTGCCGGGGGGGCTGAGGATGGAGAGGGACTGGGGGATCCGAAGAGCCTCTGCAGAAAGCAGGGGATCTCCTAGAAGTGGGGCCGTGGTAGGGGAACGAGTTGGGGGGTTTCAGCCGGGGAACCTGCTTGTACAAGCAAGAGGCCTGGCCTCGAAGCCCAGCCCCCGCCAGCCCATCCAGACAGTGAACGCCTGGGCCGAGAGGTCAAGTCTAAGTCAAGCAGGAGGCAAGGCTGGGGTGGGAGGAGGCGGAAGGGAACGAAGAGCAGGTCTGTGGAGGCGAAGGGCTGGGATTAGTTCCAGGACCTGGGATCTCCACTGGTGTCCAGTGGCCCTGATGGACCCTCCATTCACTGAACACGCCGACCCCACAGAGCTGTGCAGCCTGCACCAATGGCAGGGTTGGGCTAGGAACCCCAGCTCCCTGCATCAAGGTAGTTACCTTGTCCAGACAGCTGTGTCTGCCCTGGGGTTAGCCTGGCCTGGCCTGTTACTCAGGGCTGGGCTCGTTTC